CTTTATTTTAATAGAATAGCATTTGTGTATACCTTTATGGACACTGGATCATTTATAATTTGAATGCCAAGAGTCAAGGTCAGTATGTAAATATTTTAAAAATTGTCTGTCATCTTCATAGGTCAGCGACTATGTCTTTGAGCCCGCATGTCTTTGCAACAATATCTATTGTACGACCCGATTAAAAATAGAAAAAAACAACAACAACAGAATCCCTAAAAAACGATCAAAACGGCAAAATTGAAAACGTTGTAGGCTCGATTTGATTGAGCCTGTACATGGACGTTACTGGAAATTGCAAGGTACCGTCCAAGCACCCTAGCACCGGCCTAAACAAAATTCATATATCAAAGGGGGAAATTGTGAAATTTGGAATTTAGAAACATGCGCAGATGTGTTTATACGATATGTTTTATTGTTGTATTGATATAGCTACTTTATAAAGGTTCGTATTTATCAATCAAACTTTAAACATGCCTAGACATGGTTAAAAACAGATAATCTATTTATTAATTGAAATAAACTCAAATAAATGGTAAAGTCATTTTAATCTTTATTATCTTTCACTTTGAAAAAAAAGTCTCGCAAACATGAACCATAAACAGTCTACGAGCTTGCACTGTCTTATGGTTAATGAATAATATAGAGTAAAACATCATAGGTCTACCGCGGGTATTTGATGATGGTACATACATAGAAGATTAGACAGTTAATTGATACCAATTCTGAAATTAATATATCGACGATTTACTGCTGTTTACCCCTTATTATTAACACAGAATGATTTTATACAGCATTTTGGTTTTTTGATACTTAATCATGTTAAATATATGCTGTCGAAGCCTATGTCTTCAAATTTTATTAAATTAACTGAAAATACGATTTTTTTGCGTTTTGTCATTATTCATTGGTATGTATTCATTGTCTTAGTTAATATCAACGTCTACATTATAATTATGTCACTTTGTCAAGGACGCTGCGCCTTATTCTATCTCATGTTTTAATATCATTCAAGTGACTAAGATATATTCAAATCTTCATACTTATTTTGTTCTTGGCTATCTTTCAAAAATTGATGAGTATCTTATTCCATTATGATATAACATATTATTGATGTCATTTGCCACACTATATTTATTTTATCTCATATTTCTTCAGCTATAACTCCATAAAATTACTTTGGTTTTTCTTAGTGTTATTTTAGTCACTAAAATGTATACCAACTATTTTTGCACTATCCTGACAATTATGTAAAACAAAGATAAACAAGGGCGTGTCACTTGAAATGTCTTCGAAGCTCGGCTCAGTTACGGATCCATTACCTTTGTTGCTGGGTCGTGTTGGGGTGGCGTTCATCACCTTTCCTTGTTAATCTTGTTTTCCATTCTTTACATTGAAGGCATGGTTACTGTAGTCTTACAAGTTTTACACACAAAAAAAGAAACCTTAAGAAGCATTTATTTATATCTTCAGTATTTCTTATTATTTTAAAAAGCATCCATGAATAAATGACAAAGATATAGACACAACCATCAATGTTCTAAATTGACCTATCTAGCTATCAACCTAGTGTTTAAACATTACAAGTAGTCCTAATGTGCCACAAATGTATGCCTAGTTACGCTAATAGCCATCCATAATGACAGAATTCATGACCGGGCATGACCTTCAAAATATTTATATGAAATGAAATATTACCTTTTATGTCTGAAATCTTATTTTATGCGACATTTCTTTTCTCACTTCAGACAAATTGTTTCAAAGTACCACGCATTTATCATTAACTCTCGCTGAATAACACATATATGGACTGGACATGACCACAAATGAACTCTCATATCATGACTTTTGAAATACAAGTGTGACCTGTGAACATTTGTCCGTTACATGTCGTCTTACAAAGAAGAGCCATATTTATCACAAAGGATTTTCAATTCATCCATTAATGACAAAATCCTTAACCAGACTTTTTAGACACTTTAAGGAAATATTTTGTTCGAAGTCAAAGTATGATTTTGGTCTTTGATTTACATCATCAGCTGGGTTTTACATGTGACTCATTGTTCATATGTACCATATATTTATACAGAATTATTTCAAAAGGCATCAATTAATGAGAAAGTTATAGATCGGACACAACCATCTTGTTATGTTTATATCATGATTTATTATATAGAAGTTTAACTGTAGACAGAACCTTGCTTTTGCATTACACGACCGTTTCAAATTACACATTTACGCAAAGTTATTGTCGTTCCAGGACGGCGGCATATACAATTAACAAGATTCAAATAATTTTACCCGCACTCCGCCTGCTCTAGGCCAATCAAAACAGATAATTTAATATCACATGATAACAAAATAGACGAAAAAAGTCATAACACAGGGGCCTCAACCACCATGTTCTTGTCGGGTTACATATAAGCAAATGAAATACTATCCTCATGCACGAAGCTTGCCACTAGTATGTAAAGGCTTCTATGGGATAAACACCATATGGAATATTTCTCTTACAAGAAGAAACTTTAACTCTATTATTCAGAAAAGTAGTCTATTTCTTGAAAAAAATTTTTCGAATGCTAGCCTGGATGGCAATTCCTATTTTGGAAATACTAAGACTTTTTTTAAATATCAGGTCGTGCATGAAAAATTGTTGACCGGGTTCCCCAGTTATGAACTTTTACAAAATTGCCTTTCTTGATAGACATGACCCTGATCTTTGGACTGTTGAATTGGCTCTCAAGCATTACACGTCCCAGTACATGTTCTTGCGCAATTGACATTGACATAAGCAATAAACAAACAATTTTCATGGTATCCCTGTTTGAAGATTAAGTAATAATATAAAGTATATCATTTCCCAATCCGTTATAGGCCGTATATTTATGCTTAACTATTTCAAAATTCATCTCTAAATGACAGAATACTAAAATGCACATCTTTATTCAAGCACTTTCAAGTCTAACTTGAGGAGTTGAGCTTCACACCTGGGTCTTTCTTATGACATTGTATCAATGTGCCACACATAAATGCAATTTATTTCAAAATCTATCCAAAAATGACAGATATGGACGGGATTAAAAACGGACAGACAGGGACAAGCTCTTACTGGGAGATTTGTGGAGATGTCTGTTATCTTCATGCTTGTTTCTTACTCCAAAAGCAGCATTTTGCCTCCCATAATCAATGATTCATCCTATAGGTCGAGGGTGTACCGAATTATCTAAAAGCCAAATTGTGATCGCAAATACCCCTAACTGACACAAGAGGACGCTCGAACAGATAGACAGACAGACAGACAGATATTTGAGCAGGTCCCCCCTCGGGAAGATAGTTTTAAAAAAAAATCGCAATAATTTAAAGAACATTCATTGTATTCTTAGAAGTATAAAAAAACATCTAAATGACAAAAGTGAACGCAAATATGACTCTCATTTACGTTGTATTAGGGTATTTTACAATTGTGACCTTCTTGCACCATTAAGTTTGTAGTTTTAATGGATGTTTTTCAAAGTCTTCGCTTGGAAGTCTTAATAAGTATCACTGCACATCTAATAAAAGAAAACATGCCTAGTAAAATGCCTTCTTGTGCTTGTATACTTTAATTATAATACAACTTAAAAACATAGGATATTGTCCGCCATTTTGAAATCCAAGATGGCTGCCGCGATAAATTTTATTGTTTTTGCATCTATTCTTCTCGTCCACACTTCAGCAGACTAAAATTTACAAAGCCTTAAATTAAAATGCCACAAAATGTGTATATATCTCGCCCATGGGAGAATTAAAGTAAAATTAAAAAATTCAATGGCGGCCATTTTGAAATTGATTTTTAAAGGTCAAGGACTAAAAATACAGCCGTGGTAGAGCAAAAAATGAATTCAGCGTGCTCAAAATAGGTAAGTAAGCCTAACTACCTGCTTGTACTAAAAAATGCCGTTAGGATGAACATTTTCCCAAAATCAAACCAGTCTACATTCACTCAATCCCCTTTTAGGGCATTGTCTTTTTAACTGTGAAAAAAATTACCAAAATCTGAAACGCTTTATTAAAATACTATAAAATATAAATATATACAGTAAACAGACACAGCACACAATTTTATCATAAAAAGAAAAATAGAAAAATGATTTTGCCTATAAGCAATTCGTCACAAATTGCTTTATCACGGGTAATTAAAAAAAAACAAAAAACAAAAAAAAAACAACTAAAATCAAGATTTAAAATATATCTTTTTTTGCTCTGAATTGATGTTATAGACTTAAGGAAAATGCAACTATGTAAACAAATACATGTTTATATTAATTTGCAATAACGTAACTTCTAATTATCCAAGAAAACCCGAAGGCATTCCTTTAATATACAATACAAATGAATATGTATACTAACAAAAATAAGAAAGAAAAAAAAAAGACAAAAATTAGAATCTTCTTTTTTGTTATTATTATCTTTCACATTAAATTTCTGCACAGTGACTCTAAAATCACACTTCTTTAAAACTTTGCAAAAGCTCCTCAAATAGCATCGGACTTTATAAATAGACACATTATTTAATATTTTAGCTGTAATATTATATACATGTATATTATATTTTATTTAATGGACCATGATCCAACAGGCATTAAAGACAAGCTCTATGTGGTATTATGCGTATTGTTCATCGGCTTTAAATTTCATCTAGACGTTGTGTTTAATTAAACAGAGAGTATTGCATTTTGGTAACCTAATCTGATAGCTATATCGATTGCGACGACTGCCTTCTACAGTCATGTATCTAACTGTATTTATCTAAGATTATGTATTTCAAATTAAATATTTATTCAAGTTCCAGTAAAGCTTCTTAAAAGTATAACATTCATATGGATTTGGTAGCTCATATAGCGACTTTAAAAACACATTTATCAGTGACATACAAAGATGTCATAGCCATAGGCCAGACAGCGAACAATGAGATAATTCTATAACATTCGTATCATTTATGAAATATTGTAAATAAACAATGTAAATGCGGAACCGTTTCTGCAAAAGCAAATTAGTATGAGAATTGTTACAAACAACTCAGACTTCAAATAGTTAATTAACTCTTACAATTAAAGCTGATGAAGTATAATATGTAAATATGTTCTGTATTAACTTCCCTTGGAACAAGAAAGATATAAAGGTAAATATAATTATTTTACTGGCGTATTTCAATAATAAACAATTATATTAATGTATACCTGTAGATCTTTAAAACGCAAATCTGTTTAAATTGATAATTTGCTATTGTTGATTATTAGAAAGAGATTGTGCGATCATCTGAAGACTATTATCAATCTTTTGTAAGTTACATTTAATGGTTTGAATATCACCATGCATGCTTTGAATTTGGTTTTCTATATTTGTCAAATTTGTTTCTGAATCAAAACTTTTTAAACAATGCACTTTCAATTCTTCCAAAATAGGAACTATTGGAGTGACGACAGCCGTCCCGTAAGACGTACCTCCTTCTACAATCCCTATACATGTATGTTGAGAATTGTTGTCAGCAAGAAACACAAGGGCCCCTGAATCGCCATGGCCAGCAAACGCCAGGTCATATGCTTTAACTTCAATTTGCTTGAAAAGTTTTATAACTGCATATCCAAAAGAAAGTGGATAGCTTTCAAGACTTTTAACTGCGGTATTGTCAAACGTTAAAGTTCCATGACGAAACTCGGTTTTGGATCCAAATTTTGTCACGATATTCTTCTTGTTATTAAGCCTGTTTGTGCTACATAAGCGCCAACCGTCGTACTGAATATTTTTTACGCTTGATGCTGTAAGAAAGAGGACAACGTTTTAGAATAAAGAACATTTCTACAGTTATTAATTAAACAATTTAACTGAAACTACTAGCAAAACATAAAGATCATAATTATCTAACACTAATCTATTTTTTTTAAACTGACACACTTCATTTTATAAACACGTACTTTATATAATGTCGCATTCAGTCTCTTATGTAAATATAACAGTATATCTTCGATCTTAAGCCCTAATATATTTTACACGATGTTGATATTTTTACTTTCGTGCGAAATAAAGCCATATATTTCATAAAATTACAAAAATAGTCATATTTCTTAAAATGAAAATGTGAACAAATTTTTGAAATCACATCAGTTTACAAATTTGTGAATAACGATTGATATCTAGCTTGCTTTATTTCCTGAACAATAGAATGCATGAAAACAAAAGGTACTAATAAAATTAGGATGTAAGACTCAATGTTCATATCCCCCTTTAGGCGTGCAGTGTTCTAGTGATTAAGGGATCTGCCTATCAACCCAGGGATTATGGGTTCGAGCCTTAATCGGGTCACGAACATGCTTCTTCTTATGACAAAGTCCTGGTTGGGGCCAGGAAGCGAATTTTGAAGGAGCTAGAAATTGTTCCGCAATCGAGCGTAAATAAATGTGTTTAATCTTATGTTAATATCACCAACAAAAATGTCAATACCCGAAATAATTGTCGGAACAGGAAAATCGGCAGACTTGGGTTGTCTGTCTGTGATTTTGAACAGAGCCACTTCCATTCCAGATTTTGAGCTAGAACCTTCTTCGTAGATAAATTGAACGGTGTGTCCTATTGAAGAAGAATTCAGATCGGCAGGCTGAAAAACATTTTTGTGCATATCGTGCAATGGCCACTTCAAGGAACCGCTATAAGTTGTTTTTAATTGCTGCAACTCATCTGGGCTTAAAAGAACATGTGCACATGTTAATCCACAAACTCCAAATTGAGGATGGTCTACAAAACAGCCAAGGGTACCTTCGACATATTGACTATTATAAATATCGCCTCGTATTTGACAACCCATCTTTACAGGATCAAGCTTTACTCTAGCTGTACGTCCATAGGGAATAAAGACTCCTTCTCTTACATCGACAGCAATACCGTCATAATACTTTTCAAAAGGTTCTTCATCGATTGGAATGTAATTCTTTTTCTGGACGTAAAAGACAATACATTTTTCTGGCAGCAAATTCCATGAAACACCAAATCCTTTTGATCGATTTGAGCATGCAGATATAATGGATAAGAATTTGTGTCTTTTCATCAAATCCTCAGAGTGGTTTGAAATACAGCTATAAAGTGTTTGATAGGACATTTCATCTAATCCTTCTGAAACTGACGTCTGTTTCCTTATTACCTCAGAGCCTTCTGTGCTAAAATCGCCAACGTATTGGATGACGAATGAATATGCAAATTCTAAATGTAGAGGCTCTTTACTATTGTCACCTTCTGATTGGCGCTTTTGAATAATTACAAAACTTATTCTATCCTTGTTTTGAATTGTATAAGCAGCCCAAACATATGCAATAGCGACATGTTTCGATTTGATTTGTTCACAAATTGCCTTACATGTGACAAATATCTCTTCGGAGTTCCTCCCGAAATGCTGACACATTTCGTCAAGTACACTTTGGCTTGGCAGCTTTCCCGATTCAATTAATTTTCTAATGTCTTCTATTGTCCGTAGCCAGAGTTCATCGTCATCATCTAGAAACATGTTAAAAAATGAAGTGCGTGCAGAATTTGAAGTATCATAATTGACATAAGAAAAAGAATGATTAAATTGAACGGTAACAAACCATGTTCTGTAAGGTTGATCAATTCTTCAACACCCCCACCACCACCACCACCAACAACAACAATAAAACAAGAGGGCCATGATGGCCCTGAGGTCGCTCACCTGTATATAGGCCCCCGGAGCGGGGCCAGTTTAAACCCTAGGGCTTTTATTTGAACAAACTTGGAAGACAACCATTAGGAGACGTTGCATGATATAAAGTATTTACTACACACATATAATGAAAAACAATGACCTCCCCCCCCTTTGGCAGGGCCAATTTTATTCCAAGGGCTTTTAGTTGAACAAACTTGGTAGACACCCACAAGAAGATGTTTCGTGCTTAACAATCTAACCTCTAGCTCATTGGGTTTTTTAAAAGAAGATTTTTTAAGTTTTTAATATACACATATAGTTAAAAACAATGACACCTCTGGGGCGGGGCCAGTTTTAAACCCAGGGCTTTTATTTGAATAAACTTTGTAGACACTTACTAGAAGATGTTTCATGCTTAATATCTAAACTCTAGCTATTTGGGTTTTTTCAAAGAAGATTATTAAGTTTTTGCCATACACAAATAAGGAAAATCAATGACCCCCGGGGCAGGACCAATTTTGACCCCAGGGCTTTTATTTGAACAAACTTTGTAGACACTCACTAGAAGATGTTTCATGCTATATATCTAATCTCTAGCTATTTGGGTTTTTTCAAAGAAGATTTTTTTTAAGTTTTTACTATACACACATAAGGAAAATCAATGACATCCGGGGCGGGGCCAATTTTGACCCCAGGGCTTTTATTTGAACAAACTTTGTAGACACTTATTAGAAGATGTTTCATGCTAAATATCTTAGCTCTAGCTCTTTTGGTTCTTTAAAATAATTTTTTTTAAAGTTTTTACTATAATATGCATATAGGAAAAATCAATGACCCCCTGGGGCGGGACCAATTTTGACCCCAGGGCTTTTATTTGAACAAACTTGGTAGACACTTATTAGAAGATGTTTCATGCTAAATATCTAAACTCTAGCTCTATGGGTTCTTTAAAAGAAGATTTTATAAGTTTTTACTATATGCATATAGGGAAAATCAATGACCACCTGGGGCGGGGCCAATTTTGACCCCAGGGCTTTTTTTTCAACAAACTTGGTAGACATTCACTAGAAGATGTTTCATGCCAAATATCTTAGCTCTAGCTCATTGGTTTTTTTTAAAAGAAGATATTTAAAGTATTTTCTTTCGGTTGCCATGGCAACCAGAGTTCCGCATGGAATTAAATTCTTTGAACAATTTTTTAAGATGACCACCAAAGGAACATTCCTGTGAAGTTTGGATAAAATTGGCTTAGTGGTTTCTGAGGAGATGTCATTTAAAGTGAAAGTTTACGGACGGACGCCGGACGGACGGACGCCGGACGAAAAGCGATCACAAAAGCTCACCCTGTCACTTTGTGACAGGTGAGCAAAAACAAGAGCCAGCGCCGGGCGGGCAACCCGCGACATTTTTAAAAAACTTTTTTTAAGAAAACAAATAATCGGTTGAAACAATAAAGAAAATTAAAGGTATAAGGCATGAATCAATTCCATAAATAAAGACAATCTTAAAAAATATAAGCAAAATTCAATCATTTGACCGTCAAGGTCATTTAAAAGTCATTTTATTTACAGACCTTTATAGACCGCGGTCCGTTGCTATAAAAAATCAATGGGAAGTAGTATTTTCCCGCGCATGCGCAATCTGCATAAGGCAAAAGGTGCATAGCATAACATAAAAATATAGAAGAAGTTCATAGACAATTCCGAGTTAGTTTAAGGTAAAAGGTAGAAAATTATATAAATTAGCTTTTAACAAAATAGAAAAGATTATTTTATGCTTTTCAGTGGATTACTGATTTATCCGTGAAAATTATATTTGATAATTTCACAGTGAAAATTATCAAAATATAAATTCACAATTTTCAATGACGAAACTACTTTTTTAAGATTTTCCCCATGTGGTACCTCAATTTTATTTTTTCTGACTATTCCGACAATGTCAGGCTGTTTACAAAAAAGCAAAAGTGAAATTGATAAATAACTTATATGTCAAAAGTAATAAAGAGAAGAAAACTTACAGTATGTTACTTCTATTCATTCAAAATACCAATCACCAAATATCGTCTCTTTAATTTTTTGTTTCATTTTTACAGTCTGAAAAATCATTCCTTCCACATGCAAAACTACTCTTGATGACATTTGGGAATATTTAAGTATCCTACGAGCAATAACTGCCGTATGCTTTATGAAAACTTGAAAAGCAATGGCAGCTTTCAGTCGAAGAATATGTAAACAACCCAGCGTTCGTAAGGCTTCCAAAGTTTCCAATTTCCCATCCACTTTTTTGAATGTTTACACATCTGTCAACACTTATTTATTGTCTGTTACAATCATCAAATAAGTTTTCTTTCTTTTAAAAAGGTGTATGACTAAGAAATCCAAATGATATCCCTCTGAATCAAACACAATTATTTTCCTCCAGTGAAATACACAACTTTAAAAATGGCGGCCGCTTACATTTAACAAAGCAAGGTCTAATATAAATTCGCAGTCAGTAACAAAAATATGGATGGATGGTTGGACTTTTTCTCCAACTAAGTTTGTTTGTTTTTCTTATTTAAACAAGCAATCCGACATATTTTATCAATAAAATGAATATTATCACCACCATTCAACGTTGATTGTGGAACTTATTTTTCAGCCCATGACTTCTTGTAATTAATGAGAAATTCGACTTTTTTGAGGCTCTCAATGGGGAAAACAGATTTTAATATTAACGTAAATATTAAGGAAATTTCGTTTTAACTTGTTTTTAAGCATAAAATAAAAAGAAAATTTGTTTGTTTGTTGTATAAGATGTAATTTTATTTCATCTCGTGAACTTTAAAAACAGTATTCTCACTCGTGGCTACGCCACTCGTGAGAATACTGTTTTGAAAGCCCACTCGATGAAATAAAATTTCATCTTACACACAAACAAACAAATATCTTCTATTTCATTTATAGCTTTGTGGCCAAGATTGCGATACAAAGGCATGGAAAAGAAAATTGTTTGAGAATTTCCCCTTACGGTCACGGACATGACATTGAGATTTTTTAAAAAAGATTTGGAATTATATCTATTATTCAAATGAGTGTCAACTAATTTGTTGTTGAAATAGTTCATAAAAAGATATTTTTTTTATGAAATCGAGGTTAATTATCATTCTGAAAAATGTCAAAACAGACACGGTATTAATGCATTTTTGTGTTCAGTTTACCCGATTTTATCCTTTATTTGACTGTGATGCAAAGCAGATCATGTTTAAGTCACATAAATATATTCTAAATAGTTATTTTTTTGACATTGTATCCGGTTCCTCGTAACACCTGTTAATAGTTTAATGCAAGTCACACTAATTGTCTCTTCTCAAAATCAATAAACATTGATGAAATCGATATTATAATAAAAGTTACTAAAATTACGATTTTCATAATTGTACGTGATTAAGTATGTCATGGTACTGAAATGCCCCGGTTGAATGATATTATAGCTGGAAACAAACATCCGCGTCGCGGGTCCATCTGTTTGACACTAACCGCCTGGCTAATCCAAAAGGGAGTGTACAATACACATTGTGTAAGATTATGTAATACAGGGGTAATAAAATTTAATCTTTAACACGCTGCTGTTTAAATTGAAATAACAGATGAAAAAGTCGTCTAATGATACCCTAAACAGACGACTTTTGTGTGCGCCTTTTGACCATTGGATTATTAGTCCCGCATATTTATTATATCTGTTATAAATAATGTTTGGACTTATTAATTTAAAACGTTACAATGATTTATTTGGAATAAATTTCCACTTACAAAAATGCCATCGTGTTAACATGTAAATATGCTTGGCTTGGTGGAAATTGTATGTTGCAAACGGATTTAGATCATTTATAAAGTTCTTCATTTTTATATAGTTAATATGCACAAATTCGTCATAAGTAAAGGCTACACGCCGGCGTCTGCATGAAAAAGCATGTATTTACCTTTTAGTTTACTTTGTATGTTGGGATTTCTGTCTCAATAGTCAGTAATACGAAGAAAATATTCTTGGAATATTCTGAATTAATTCAATTGTTATCAAATAAATGTGATTGACCTATATATTATATGATACAGAAATTAATATTATGAGTCTTCTTTTGCGAAATAATTTCCTAAATTCCACTAGCGAACGCTATATTTTCTTTCTTATTTCTATACTGGAAATAGACTTATCATTCTAATTTAGAAATTTACCCTTAGGCTAGTAAAACTAAACTAGTGAATTAAGAAATATTACTTTTTCTTCTTTAATACCTGCTTAGACGTAGTAAATGACAAGACAGTTCTTCTGCATGTTTCCTCAAATGACACCAGTATAAATGGCCTAGAAACGGAACCGAAATAATTTACATTCCGAAAGGAAAACGGAAGGACTCAATTTGCCAATCTGAATTTAATTGGTTTATGCAACGATAGTATATAAGTAAAACAAACTGTCCTACTTAATTTCGATATTCTTATTTAAAAGTAAAATTCTATGATCACTTTGTTTGTTTATTTCTACTGCATCTTCAGTTTTGTAAATTGACTCCTGACTCCGTAAAATACATATTTAACAGTTGTTAAATGTCCCTCATGTACAGACTCAATCAAAATGAGTGTGCAATTCTCTTGTAATTTTGTTGTGATTAATGCTTCCGAGGGATCATTTTGTTTCCAGATTTTTAAAGGAATATTCATTCAAAATACCGTCTAATTCAGAAATTTTACGTATTAAAACTAAACTGGCGAATAACGAAACGTTACGGTTTTTTTTTCTATACTTGCTAAGATGAAGTAAATGACAAGAACTTTACTCTAAAGTAATTCATTATTTGTTTGGAAACAGTCATGTTTCCTTACATAACACCAGTATAAATGACCCGGAAAATGGTACCCTAATAATTTACATTTCGAAAGGAAGTCAAAAGGACTCGTTTTACCATCGTTCTGAATTAGTTAAGTTTATGTAACATACAACGATATCGTCAGCAAATAAATAAAACAAATTTCCATATTCATTTTTAAAATTAACATTCTAAGATCACTTACGAGGTTTGTTTATTTCGGTTGAATCTTCACCATTGTAATTGGACTCCAGAATCTCTAAAATACATAATACTCTTGTTGCGAAATGTTACAAATGTCTGTTAAATACACAAAAACTTCTAGTGCAGTGCAACTTATACATACAATTTATTGTTTTGCTTAAATGGGTAAACAATATTTAACCCTTTCCCCCATGAGCATATTGTGAAAAATGGCCATTTTCACTGAAAAGCATCCTCTTACAAGTTCTAACTGCTATGAAACTATGAAAAATGCTTAAATACTAATCAAACTTGGCACAAATGTTGACTGGACCATTGCCTTTGTAACGACATGCTCAGTCTTTAATTTCCTGTTACCATGGCAACGAGGGGACATCTCAAAATTGCCAAAAATCACTATTTTGCCTCGATTTTTTCCATCAAAATTTATTTCAAAGTGCTGCAGCTTCTCAAGGGATTGGAATAGAGTCAAAGGCTTTTCAGCGTTGGTTACACGTTACCTTATGATCGACCTGGGGTCATTTTAAGCCTCTCACAAGTCCAAAATTTTCTTGACGATGAGGGGGACTCCGCCCCCTTCAAACCCCCCAAACAGAAGGGGGCACATCACCCTTCTGGCAACCTTCTGATGTATCTTTTGGATGGGGGGCGGCGCCGAAAAAGTGCTCACTTTTTTAGCAACATTTCTCAAACGAAAACATGTGTTTGGGGCCCAAATAGGACATTTTTCACTATTTCAGGCCTAAAAAAAGGGGGGGGGTCGAAAGTGTGTTGTTTCGCGTATATATGAGGTAAAGGGTTGACTTAAATTCAGAAAACATGTATTCGAGGGGTGATCAGAAAATATGTAGACTTTTGCTGGAATTTTAACCTTTGTATATGACGTGAAATAAATGTCAAACATAAGCGGATTGTATTTATGGTTAAATCCAGTTAACATCCTGAAAAATATCGCATTACATGTATACATATAATTTCCAAATTTATTCGACGATATATCAGACGTTTATTACTACTAGGAGCAACTCAATGTGTTTTTGTTATATATAAATGTTGCTACATTTACTTATTATTTCAAATATATTGTTTAATTCAATAAAAAACCTTGTTTATGTCGTAACATCAATTATACAGTTTAATGGTTTTTTTGTGTGTTGGGTTTATGTCGCACCTTATTATAAAATTCGTAGAACAATTCTTTCCAAAATAAGCAGATCTTTAGTAATAAAATAAAGTTAATAAACTAATTTATCTTTTTTACTTCAAAATAGAGGATCAAGTTATGTAATATTTGTAAAGAAATCGGTACAACACCACACATAAAAGCATATGTGTACATATATGAAAAGCGTACAAGATGAACTATTGTGAACTCGGCGTATATCATAATAATGAAATCTTTTAAATTAGCAAATGTTCCCTGGTTGATCAACTTTTAAAGTTGTTTAAAGAGTTTTCTCGATTTAAAGATCTGGTTGCCATGGAAAACAAACTGCTAATCTTTTGAAAGAATCTTGTCAAAAATTATTTGGCCGGATAGAACTGACTGTTGAGATATAATCTACAAAAAATTAGTGTTGTTCTTTTTTTATTTGTTTGATACAAAACAAATCCGCAAAGTGCGTATACTGGTCATTTTGCTCCCGATGTGTATTGATAAAGAAATGTTTGAAATTTCACTCCCGTTTTAATATCAGATTCAATTCGATATAGTTTAAAACAAATTGATGTTCCTTAGCTGACCATCTTTTTCCAAGATCGTTTAACTTATTTTTAATTATAAAATAAAAGAAAATTAATAAAATGAAAAATTGGCGGTTATGGGTCTGGGGTTAGTATCTCGAAGCTATCGTTAGCATAACGACTATCGCAAGCCTCTCGTTAAGGTTTTCACTTCTAGCTTGAAGCTCTCGTAATTTACGAATAATCGTTAACATGCCCAATTATTAACGGATGCCAAGAGGGTGTCGTAAAGCTCTCGTTACTATCACTTTGACACAAAAATAAGAAAGCTGCAATTTTTAAATACATAAAAAATGAGAATGATATCATTTTATTGATAAAAATGATGAACCTATATAAATATGATATTGTATTTCTTTTTCTCATATACCAAACATATGTAAAGGTTCTTTACAGTTTAATTAAAGAACTTTATTTGAACAGGGTCTTACCCTGATTTAAATGCTGATGAAAAAAAATCATAACTTAAACATCGAAAGGAATTAACTCCGTAATGTGTAAATTTTGCACAAAAATATAGATAAATTTCTGCGTACATCATGTTGAAAATGTAAAAACTTTTTACAGAATTATATTTCGAAAAGTAAACTGTGACGTAATGACTTAAGCTGGGTTCCCACTGCCGATCAGATCAACTCGATCATCCCGATCACCCAAATTCCCCGATCAGACCCGACCAAGCTCGACTAAAGGCGTATACACGACTTCTTCTCGACCTCTTGTCGATCACACACGATTCCCACACGATTATTCACGACTCCTTCACGACGTCAACCCGACCACCTTTCCGATTTCCGCTCGATCATCCCGACCTTTACACGATCCCTACACGATCTCAACTCGACCTAATGGATCTCTGCTCGATCGGTGTCAGATCTTTCCCCGACCAGATCGTCATGGTCGTACTCGAGTCGTAGAAGGTCGTGAACAGTCGTGTACCAAAACTTTTAGAATAAAAACTTCAAACAGTGTTGATCATTATCACTTCATCTTGAAACTTCATAGTATATGTTGTGTCAAGCATAGTATAAATATTTATGGAGATTGAGCAGTTGCAGTTGTGGGCCAGATGGTTAGAGCTCCAGAGAGACAGGGCCATTGCTGTGCTAGAGTTGGAACAAAAGGAAGAGGCTGAGGGTCGTAGGCATAGACGTAGGCGACAAATGCGCAGGAAAATATGGATGAAGCAGTGGCTTGCACGACGACCACTGTATGGGGATTATGAGCAACTGCTACAGGAGCTAAACAGGGAGGACCCAAAAGGATACAAAAATTTCCCAAGGGTAGACGCTGATATGTTTGGGGAGCTTGTTGATCGCATATCACCCAGAATTCAGAAAAAGAACACCAACTTCAGGTAAATCATGGGTTCGATCCCCATCATTTTCACGTATTTCTGAAATAATTAGTCATCGAATTACTTTTCCAACCATTTGACTTCTACAGCTCTGTGCAATTGTCACTTATATTTAAGAAATTTTAATACCGTTGTATCATAGTAGGCTAGTTATTACTTATCATTGTTCAATCTCTATTTCACTGAAGCCCTGGAGCCTGGATTGAAGTTGGCGGTCACTCTTCGTCATCTCGCAACTGGAGCCTCGTATTCAGACTTGATGTACTCATTCCGAGTGGGAAGTAACACAATAAGTAAATTCGTCCCTGAAGTTTTGGATGCTATAATACAGGAGTACTCTGAAGAGGTGCTGCCAGCCGTCGTCACTGCTGAACAATGGCAGCAGATTGCAGATGACTTCCGAACCAAGTGGAATTTTCCTCATGTCTGCGGGGCTCTTGATGGTAAGCACGTGAGGATAAAGAACCCGAAGAACTCTGGGTCTCTGTTCTATAACTATAAAGGCTTCTTTTCCATAATACTACTCGCACTCGTAGACGCAAACTACAAATTCATCTGGGTAAGCGTTGGTGCTAATGGCAGTGCATCCGATGCCCAGCTATTCAATAACACTGAACTCAGAACCATGCTAGAAGAAAACAACCTTGGTTTGCCGGACCCGGATCCACTGCCTGGCGATGACATGAACACTCCATACTTCCTCATTGGAGATGACGCTTTCCCGTTGAGAACTTGGATGATGAAGCCATACTCCAGACGCAACTTGACCAACGAGGAGCGCATATTCAATTACAGGTTAGACAATCTTTTGAATTACTATTGGCAAAATAGCTATGCATTTAATCAGAAATTTGTTCTTATAAACCATCACCATCCTTTCATTTTAGGTTGTCCAGGGCTAGACGAGTGGTAGAAAATGCCTTCGGTCTTCTCGCTATGCGGTTTCAGTGCCTACTTGGCTGCTTGAACCAGATGCCTGAAACCGTTGACTTGATAATCCTTGCATGTGTCACACTGCATAACCTTATCAGCATACGGTACCCTGCCATTGCAAGACTGGCCGTCGACCAAGAGGACGAGCATAACCATTTAGTACCTGGTGAATGGCGCCCAGGAAGACAGTTGGCTGATGGTGATCGGACCCATGGAAGAAATGTGGTGACATCCGCTGGGGTCAGTCAGAGGAACTACCTTAAATACTACTTCAACTCCCGAGCTGGTTCAGTTGAGTGGCAACAGAATATGATTTAGTGTGTTAGTTACTTTGGAGAGATATTTTAATGACGCTTGGCGTGTATAACCTATATGATGCGATTATGCACAAGTTAAGTAGTTATTAAAGTGATTTCCGATATGTTTAAGTATAGTAAGTCATCTTCTATTTGGATATGATAGTTTCCATGATATGTTTGTTAATGGAGGAAATTAGCTTCAAGTATACATGTATATGTATATGTTTGAGTTGATTGTTTGTTTCTTGATTTTATGCCCTTTTTCAAAGTATTTCAATCATATCACGCCAACTCCTTGCCAGTAGCCGGCAACTGCCTCACTTGAAACAGAGGTGGGTGACTAAAATCGCCACTAGTCGGTGTATGGTCGTGTATGGTCGAACAGTGATCGGGGTTTAATCGTGTGCGGTCGTGTTTGGTCGTGGAGTAGTCGGGTAGCAGTCTAGATAATCTAGAAAAGAGATCGAACAGAGATCTACTTAATCGGGATGCGATCGTATATTACTCGAGTAGAAGTCGAGATGATCGGGTACAGATCGGATTAAAGATGCCAATCCGACCAAACAAGATCGCTACACGATTGTTTCTCGATCAACTCGATCTTCAACTCGATCAATACACGATCGCTTCCCGAGCTCTTCTCGACCGCTTGGCTACACGATCGCTACACGAATTTTTTTGACATGTCAAAAAAATTCGGGTAGAAAGCCCGAGCGATGCCGACCAAGGTAGACCTCCCCGACCACTCCCGATCAATCATGCCGACCGACCCAGACCAGTACCCGATCGCTTGATCGGGCTTGATCGAGTTGATCTGATCGGCAGTGGGAGCCCAGCTTAAAAATAAAGAAAAGTGCATTACGTTTTACACAAATTAAGACAAAATGAACATTTATCAATAATTAACAACAGCCTTGTATATATTTAGTTATAATTTCCTTTGTTTTGGGTTTTACGTCAAATCGACACAGTATAGGTCATATATATAGTTATAAAGATCTTTGACAGGTTATATGGCCCTATATAAACGGTTGTTTATAAATATAACCCGAGCCGCTAGGTGAGAGTTATATTGCAAACAATCGTTTAAATCGGCCATATAACCTGTTAAAATCTTTATAACGAATTCACAATACTGCAAACTTCCTTTCTTAGATAAAAAAAGTGAGATTTCTTTATAAACTGACAGCAACAGTGTATATAAACTATATAAACGCCACAATTATCCAATGAAATGTGACGTTACAAATGTGCGGTAACAAACGTGCAGCATTCTAAAAGATTTTATAATACTGCACGTTTGTTACGTCACTTTTCATTGGATAATCGTGATATTTTTAAAGTTTTATATACTCGGTTTCAGGCAATTTTCTAAGAAATCTCACTTTTTTCTCAAAAAGGGAAGTTTGCGGTTTAATAAATTCTTTATAAGTATTCCTGACATGTTATATGATCGTATGCAGACGGTTGTAGGCAATATAACCATCGCCTAGCGGCTCAAACAGCCGTTTATATAGGGCCATATTACCTGTCAAAAATCTTTATAACTAAAAATATAAACGATTATCCAATGAAAATCGACTTTACATATTTGATATATATTTATGCTTATGAAGTCATTGTTTTGCTCATGGGTTCATTGTTATGCGCATGACGTCTTTGCATGGGATTTTAGAAAGAGTTGCTGTACATATGTTTGTCTTAATGGTACAAATTAAATATTATGTTTCGTGAAAATAAAGTCCATATTTCACTCAAACGGAAAACGCCCTCAAAATATTTTCCTCGTCGCAGTTGTCGTCGTATCATCATCATAGTCACTGGTGTATCATGAT